TGCTGAGGGTACACTCCGTCCCTTCATCCCGGTTGTTAATGAGCGAGCTAAACAAGACTGGACCCAGACCTGACCCCTGAGGAACGCCACTAGCTGCAGGCCTCCAGCTAGACTGTGCCGCTGATCACAGCCCTCTGAGCTCTACCATTCAGCCATTTCTCAGTCCACCTCACCATCTAACCTACGCTTCCTGAGCTTACCTGTGAGGATGTTAGGGGAGACACTGTCAAAAGTCAAGGTAGACAACATCCACTGCTCTCCCCTCACCTGCCCAGCCAGTCATGCCATAGTCAAAGGCTATTCCTGTTGGTGAATCCATGTTGACTACTACCGATAACCTTCTTTTCCTCCGCATGCTTAGAGTTGGCATCCAGAATGAGCTGTTCTAGGATCTTGTGAGACTGACTGATATTGTGGCACTGAGCACACCTAAGTATCAGAGGAACAGGAAAAAAGGTGAATTGTGTCTGAGGGAAGATTACAGTTGTTTCAAACAGCCTGTGGTGTGTACAGGTTCAAAGAAACTCTGATCTATCTGTGATGGCTACAGTGTTTACCAGATAACTTTCTCGCCTCCTTTGAGGGAGTGGGTTACTGGCTAATCCCAGTTGTGAGTCAGAAAACTGGGCGGTAACATTATCTGTAACTAAGTATTTTAAGAGTTCTAACAGGCTGCTTTGTTTCTCAGGTTTGTTCAAGATCAATAAACTTGGAAAATGCTTCCGAAGCACTGAAGAGAAAAATGGCAGCATTTCTCAAGTATGTACCCATTTTAAGGAATTTGCAGTCTGTAAGCAATGTAATACAGCACAATAAACGTTTTGAGAACTTACAACTGGAAGAATAAGCAGCTTCTTCATGCTCATGTATTAACTTTTTTATTTGTTTAGAAACTTGTGTTTGGGTTTGGAAGATCTTCAGCTTGTCTTCATGATTTCATCTCATGAGCTGTTCATAAAACTTCTGAAAGATGATGAACGGAAGCTGCTCATTGATCAAATGCGGAAGAGATCTCCTCGAATCAACCTGTGCACAAAACCTGTGACTTCTTTTTATGATATCCCAGGTAATTTTCACAGCATTTCGATTAACTTATATGCAGGCAGTTACTTATTTCTGTGCTTGAGGTTTCTATGTGCAGGTCTGTTCTCAGAAAAAGTTTAGAGAGAATGTTTTTGGAGAGAATACTTGCCATTTTTAGTTGGTGAATGTCCTGCTTGTTCAAGAAAGTGGCTGTTACTTGCTTGTATTTTGCTTGCATCTCAACTGAGTATAGTAGATATGCTCAAATGAACGTGTCCTGGCTGACCAAGTGAAAGAGAGGCACGGCAGTTGGTTCGAACCAGATCTGGCTGTGGCAGCTGTTCCCAGAAAGGGCATCCTGCCTCTGGACTCAAACCAGCACTAATGCTTTTGTGACTGTGTGGTGAACTGGACCAGGATTACCATCTGGATGAAGTTTTAAACCTACAAGAGTGAAACAGATCTTTTCAGCCAGTTCGTTTCCCAGATAGAGCTGGCTGGCTGTGCAGCTGCACAAGTCAAAGCTAACACAAGAGGTGTCAAAGAATTTACCTTTTCAGCTCTAGTACAGTCTTGCATTGACTTAAACCAGTTGTGAAAATGCGTATTTTTACTAAGGCAGCATAGGAACACTTTTTTGTGCAGATCTTTAACCTATTGCTTTGCTTGTAGCAAGGGTAAGGGTGTATTCAAAGCTGCTGGTGTGAGAAAAGGGGGTGTTGCAAGCAGCCCTTTAGGTCAGAGGAGCTGGGAAAGTAGCACAAGGGCTTTGTGAAAGGGCACGACAGGATGTACAGGGCCTATGAAAGCGTTGGTGTATCTGCTGTTCTTACTATGTTATGTTTAAAATGTTATATTTTAAAAAAATGTAAGCATCTATGTTAAGAAGGAATGTGCTGGAAACTTGATTGCTTTTCTTCTAGCTTCAGCAAGTGTCAATATTGGCCAGCTTGAACATCAGCTCATATTGTCAGTAGATCCTTGGCGGATTCGCCAGATCTTAATTGAGTTGCATGGTATGACTTCAGAACGCCAATTCTGGACTATTTCGAATAAGGTAATTTATTTCATGTGGTTATGAGAGTGTGTAATTCAAGGACTGGTTAGGTATCATACTGCAATGAGCAGTAAACATTTTGTCATAGATCCTCAATGTGACTTCTGTTTTGTTTTTTTTTCCCCTCTGCATAATGATGGTGTAACAAGAATGAGGATACATACCTAAACTCATATTCTCTGTGAAAAGTATTACAACAAAATGCATTACCTTTGTTTTAAGGAATTACTGGCTGTATCACAAACTTTCCTTGTGAGAAAACAAATTTCTGTAGCTTTTGCTTTCAGTGTTCTGAGTAGTTAGCAATATTATTTTAGTTTAAATTCCTGTAATTAAAAGCTGGGAGCAGGAGAGAGGAAGAGATCTTTTTTTGTTAAGTAAGGATTTCTTTTCTTCTTTGTTTTGTTTTTTCCCTCCCAGTTATTGCATATTCAGAGTATGAACAGAGTAGGGTAGCTAGCCATTTTTATTGTACTGGTATATGAGCAATACATCTGATTAGATGTAAAAATGAAAGAGTTTGTAATTAGATGTCAGTCACTTTCAATATCTGAGTCTTGTTTATAATGTTTTTAGCAGTGCTGTGAATTCTAAAACCTGTTTCTGTGCAAATGTCCTATGTATTTCTCTCCCAGTGGGAAGTACCAAATGTTTACGGCAATGTTATTTTAGGAATCAAAGACAATCTGACTAGGGATTTGGTCTACATCCTTATGGCGAAGGGATTACACTGCTGTGCAATTAAGGTGAGCAAACCATCTGAAGTTACTGATGAGTTAGTTTGGAGAATTGAATTTTAACAACACTGAAAATACGGAAAACCCTTTTCGAGAAAAAGAATTGAAAACTTAGGAGGTGAGGGAGATGTAGTAATAAACTCTGTGTGTCATATAAAGGTTTAAATATTTGTCTCACAAAATTCCACCAGTAAAGCAAGAATAATGGCTTTCCAGTGAGTTAGGCCTGGAGATAATTTCATTCATACAGAGTTTTGATTATGATGTATTAAATCATGTTGCATCTAACCCCAGCGGTGATTTGACTTCCTGGTATGAAGTGCTGTTCTTTTGGCTAACTGTTTTACATAAGGAATTTATTGGAATGCTGGTTTATTTTCTTTGTAACTGACAACACTGTAGTCTACTAAACTACAAGGTAAAACTGATCTGTACCTAATATGCCCATAGTTACTTCTGATACGTTTTTGCTTAAACTTCTTGTTTTGTTTGAAAAATCTAGAACTGTTGGAACTGTTAAGCTTGATAGCAAGTCCAAAGAACTCAAAAGTGTAAATAGTAATTGTGAGATGCTTGAGCAATGATAATGGATGCCGAGGGTGGTTCAGCCAGGACAGAGCTGAACAGCACTTTAACTCTTAGTCTTTTCCCTTATGAGTCCATTAGGAATCATTAATGCATATCCTTTTTATTGCAGGATTTTGTCCATGCAAAACAGCTTTTTGCTGCTTGCTTGGAGCTTGTGACAGAGTTTTCTCCAAAACTCCGTCAAGTCATGCTGAATGAAATGTTACTTTTGGACATTTACACTCATGAAGCTGGAGCTGGTGTTTCTGGTGAACGTCCTCCTTCTGATCTTATAAGCAGAGTCCGAGGATATCTGGAAATGAGAGTACCTGGTAAGCACGTTGCTGTCTCTCCCGGGATGCAGTAAAGCACAAAGCTTGAGAGAAAGGCAAAAAGCCCAACTTTGATTGTAGATTTACCATTTAGTTGTATAATTGGAAAAACAATAATGAAGTTTGACACTGGTTTTATTGAGTCTTTAGAAGTTAGGTTAGTTTTTTAGAAGCTGGAAATGAGAACAGCAACATCATGATGCCTACATATTGCTGAACACTGACAGTTTCTGTTTAGTATCACTTAAAGGACTTGAACAGGATAAACATGTCTGCATTTTCACCTGAAAAGTTTTGCTAGTTGTTAAAGCAGTCGTACTGTTGTATTTAGAAGAAGCTGTTGTTGTTCCCAGTTTTCAGAGGTGAGGTCTCTTGTAGGGCTAAGCGTGTGTTTCTGTGACATGGAACAGAAGTGGCTAATTAGAGGGAATGGGTTTTGCTTGTTTCCACACAACACTGTTTTCTCAAAAAAAAAAAAAAAGTGTTAAGCAAAGAACCCCTTTCCTTCCAGATATTCCTCTTCGACAAGTTATAGCTGAAGAATGTGTTGCCTTCCTGTTAAACTGGTGTGAGAATGAGTATTTGACCATGCAAGTTCCATTACCTCTGGTTCAAACTAATCCTTATGTAAAGGTAATGAGTGCTCAGTCTCAAAGCCTTGTCAGGCTGTAATCGACTTTTTCCTGTTGAAGTCTTTTGTACTTTCAAAAGCATGTACCTGTCTGTCTCAAAGAGTGTTGGGTTTTGTGGCTATAATGAATTAAGTCTGGTATAGAAGACAGCAGAGCTAAGCAGCAGGTGTGTTTGATGGTTGACAGAAGACATGGAGGCTGTGCTGCAAGAAGAAACAAAACAAACTGCATCTTAGGCCTTGCTGGCTGCCAGCTGAGGCTGGTTCCATAAGCATCAGACTTGTGTGATTATGATCCGTAAGCTGATACAAACCCTGTGGCACTTCCATAAAGGACTCTCCTCTCAACTGGAACTCAGCCTAGATTCCTGTAGGGAGGTATGAGAAGTGTACACATCTCAGGCTTCATGTCTGGTTGGTTTTCTGTTCCTAAGGCACTTGTTTTCCAAATGCACTGTAATGGTTCCATTTTTTAACCCAATACCACTATTGAATTTCTGGAGACGTTCAAGCACTGCCTTTTTTTTTTTGAAACTTTGCTTTCAAAATGGTTTTACAGCAATGGTTCTACTTCAAAGTCAGACAATGAAGCTGAATGCAGATCATATTACAGGACAGGTTCATTTTTGGCCTGCCTTGCTTACCTGTGGTATTTCCTAATTTCCATTTTGAGATTCAGCTTTTTCTGTATAGCAGAGGGTGCCAGTTTCAGTTCAGATTAATTATTATATGAAAGTTAAGGAAGTTCTAGGGAGCCAGTCTTGTAAAACTATATTTTGTGGGTTTTAGGTTATATGCAGTATATTTAAGTAGAGTGTAAAGCTTGTTTTCTGGAGCCTGTAATAATGAAATATACCCTAAGGAAACGAATAAAGGGAAAAATCCTCTGTTTAATTCCCGTCTTCGAGGTTCCTCATCAGTGACCTCTGCTGCAAAGTTTAGTCACATTGCTTTGTAGTTTGTAACTTAAGATCACTTGCTTAGCAATTTTGAATGCCAGTAATTCCTTTGCTCTGGTCAATGTACAGAGAAGCTGTAGTTACTGTATTTTTTTCTCTTGCATTGCATAGCTGGGGCAGTTGCTGGCTGCTACTTGCAAAGAACTTCCAGGTCCCAAAGAAAGTAGACGGACAGCTAAAGACCTTTGGGAAGTAGTCGTACAAATCTGCAGTGTATCCAACCAGCACAAACGGGGGAATGATGGCAGAGTGAGTTTGATAAAACACAGGGAGTCTACATTGGGCATTATGTACAGGTGTGTTTTCTTAAATAATTTTTAAAGATCATTTGAATTGTATCTTTGATGCCGTGTTCCCTTCAAAAATTGTCTTGATTCCGCTATCAGAGTGGGGGCAACAGCTGAAGATCTCTGAGTGAACAATCTGCCCACTGGTGGTGGGTATTAGTGGTGTGTGTTGACTTCCCTTTTCAGAGAGAGAAAAGAAGTCTGTCAGGTCAGCGTACAGACACCAAAGCATATATGCCTGTGCTCCCATTATCAGTGTAGATCTTCCAGTGAAGTCGGTGGCATCTGGAGGGGAGTTTAGCTGACCGACTGGAGGTGTCTGCTTTACTTCAAATAGAATTGCTCTGCAGGCTCCATTGGCTGTATCAGTTAACTATTATAACTGTATTAAACACCTAGCTCACAACATAGGTGTCTAGACTTAGCTTTAGATTTCTGAATCTAAACCTAAATGTTATACAGTCTTGAAATGAAATTCTAGTTCAGTTGATCTCCTGGGGGAAAGGGGAAGGAAGAAAACATTCCTGACTGAAGTAATTTCACTATCAGTTACCTAACCTCTGCCAGCCTTAGCCTTAACTGACCGATTGGTTGATTCAGGACTCTCTGATTTGTCCACTCACTAAGTGTTTTCAGCCTGTTCTTAAGTCCAAGCCTGATTATAAGTTGCCAATTACAGTAAATTCTGGAATATATGATTGTATTGAACAGCTTTCCATGTTAAAAACTTGGAAAAGGTGCCCCTGTCAAACTATTGACTGTTCCTTTGCCTTCCTTGAGCTCATCAGGTTAATGTGTGCATGAACGCCAGCTGCTTTTGCTTACACGGCTGTGGGGTGGGTGTGAGAGGGTACGTGCTTGCTGTAGGCTTCAGTTGTATACTCTGGCAAGGGAAAGGAAGCAGTACAGGTGTACTCCAGGATACTGAACCTTTTCTGACCCTTCTGATTCAAACAGTAAAGGGCAGTGACCCTGTTGTTGTTATAGAAAAGAAGCAGTGAAACCTTTTCCAAACAGGCTGTGCTTGTCTGGATTGTCTTATGGTGACAATTTCTGATGTGGCATGACGAGGAAATCAGTGTACATTATAAATGATCACTGTACCCTCTTCTGTAAGCCTGTAGGTCGTTGTTGCAATCTTAGCTTGGAGAATTACAGTACAGTTCAGTTGCTTTCCCTTTGAGAGTCAATGGTTGACTTACTACAAAGTGATTTTCATGCCTTTTTATAGCTTGATGGAATAACAGATACCTCTTATTTAACCTGTTTTAAATGTAAAAGTAAAACTTGCTAGTGACTGTATTAAAAGTGAATGACCTGCTTGAATGTTTTCACTTACATAGCCTACATTTGTAAACTTAGAGGTGAAAAGGCTATTGTGGCAGGTAAAGAATTTGCTTTGCTGACTCTCGTTTCCAGTGTATTAAGTTTGCATGTATTCTTTGTTGCGGACGATTACTTACATGGTATTTGTGTCCTTAATTAGGAGTGAATTGCTGTCCTTCATCAAAAAGCTTCGGGTAAGTTATAGTTGTCTTGAGAATGTGTTTGCAACCAGAACTTCCTTTTGATATAATATTTTTAAGACTTGATATAATATTTATAGGACTTTTCTTGTTAAAATCCAGACAGTCTGGCAGCTGTATAGGTGTTTTGTATGGCTGAAGAACTTTTGAATTTCCTATACCTGCCATACAGCAGTGTGGAATAGCTTGTTAAAAAAAAAATAAATAATTAACCTGGACTCTTGACGGTGGAGATCTGTTAACATTAAGAGTATATTTTATTGCAGCTGTCAGGAAGCAAAGCATTCCTTTTGGAAGGAGGAGGAAGCTGCTACTTGCATCGTAACTAAGCAGCAGAAGTAAGAGGAAAGGAAGTTGTTCATAGCTCATGGGTTTATAAATGCATAGAAAGTTGTAGTATACCTGGCTTAAGTCTAAGGTTAGGTAGTAGCCGCAGAAACAACATAACGATGTGTAAAACCTAACTAAAGTTTGTATCCAAGGAGTTACTCAGGGAACTGCAAAGTAATTAAAGACTTCCTACAGAAACTTTCTTGCAGCATCCTTGTGTTGCAGGATTCTTAACAAAATATTGCCCTGTGTCAGTAGGAAATTATAATGATGTCAGACCTGTTTACATAGCTTTAAAGCTTAGGGAAGAAAGTGGAGTTTTGTTAGTTCATAGGTATACTTTTTTTTTTCCTTACAGGAACCATTGGTTTTAACCACAATATTGTCCCTGTTTGTCAAGCTTCATAATGTTCGGGTTAGTATATATCATAAACATCTTACTTGGTTTTCTTGAAATGTTTCTCTTTTGTAATTTCTCTTACCATCTTTCTTCTCTTAGGAAGACATTGTGAATGATATTGCAGCAGAGCACATTTCCATCTGGCCCTCATCCATCCCCAAGTAAGATGATAATTAAAAATACAATTTTCAAAATAGGCATTTACATAATTTGTTAGGTTCCAGTTACTGTGTATTAGTTTTTGTATGTTAGTGGGATTTCTGCCATGTAAGGGCATCACTTCCCCCCAGTCTGTTTGTGGGCAGATTGGTCTGATTGCATGGAGCTTTTTGCTCCTAATTTGACGGTCCTGATGGAGATGTGGGTACAAGAAAAAAAAGAGGTTTCTTTAGCTGTGTGTTTTACTGAGCTATATGTAACTATGTGAACTATATAATACTTTAATATGAAATAACTGACATTTTTTGATGTGTTTGAATAATTGCCGAAGTACTAAAGGTGTATGGTATGTATTGATTTGTTCTGGCCGGATTGAACTGTATTTCTCCAATGAAGTTTAGAGACTCTGTGGGGCTGGAACCTCGCTGGTTTAGATTCCCTGTATGCATCAGGAGAGATGACTCCCGTGAGAGAGAGTGAGCGTGTAAAGCTTAGTGTAGTTAATCCGTCTTTAATTGCTCTGATTGAATAGTCTCATTGTTACTGATGCAGACTTTAGCATATATTATAAGGTCAAGCAGAAGAAAATCGTTCTCAGTGTTACCAGAATTTAGCAGTAGGGTGACAAAAAACATGTTTTTAAAAATGGAGATCCCACGTGAACTTTGGGAAAATCTGCCCAAGCAACGTGCCAGACCATTCCCGGCCTTTCTTTCCAAGCTAGTTCCACAAGTTTCCAGAGATTGCTGTCTGTGGCCGTTCATGCGGATGCTGTGATAAATTTGTAGTGGTTTCAGGTGTTGTCCTCAAACTTCTTGAAACTGGGAACATATATTCTTGCACAGAACCCTTTTATGGTGTCAGCCACAGATAAAATTCTAACCTTCTGTCCAAGTCTGTGAAAGGTGTATTTGTTCTGTCAGATTTACTGTATTGACCCAACTCAACAGTAGCCTTAGTCAACACTAAATCTTTGCTGGAGTTATTTTTACTTGACACTTAATGCAAGGTGGTTTGGACTTAAACTTGATGGGAAATCAGATTAGTGTTTAAAGAAACAAAACAATCATTTAGGAATTATTTTTCTTTCTTTTTTTCTTTCTTTTTTCATTTAGTCTTCAATCAGTGGACTTTGAAGCTGTGGCTGTTACAGTAAAAGAGCTAGTCAGCTATGCATTGACTATCAACGCAAACAACCACTTCTGGTTAATTATTCAGGCAGATATTTATTTCGGTAAGTGAAACCAATGTCTATTTTTAGCATGTGTGTAGGGGTACCTTGCCTCTCTGAGATTTACTTGACATAACCCTCCTTGTATTTCTTCTTACGAAAAGAAGTGTAAGGTGCAGTGGTGTAGGTAGATTTGTCTGGGAGGTTGTCTAAGCCCACAGAGAAACTGAGCTTTTGGTGGGTCGTGTGGACTTGCTTATAGGGTAAGGGAAACTTTACTGTAAGAGCCATCGTTAACTTCACTTTTTTAGTGCAGTTGGTCCTTGAGTGATATAATTACTCAAACCCCTAACATTCGAGTCTCTTAAGTGAATGGAAAGCTGTGTGACTAGTGCTTGCTTTTAAATGTGAAGATCAGCTTCACTGGAGCAGATGATGAGCAGAGTGGAGAGGATCTGTATTTTATATAGGGAAGTATCTAGGATTTATAAATGAGGAAGCACCAACTCCTCACCTGGTATTGGTTGTGATGGGAAGCTCTTTCCTGTCATTCTGTCCTAGCCTGCCACTTCCCCAGTACTTATCCTTGCTCCTCAGCTGGGAGCAGCCAGCAGAATTGGGACATAAAGCGTTTCGGATGCTGGCACCAGGACATGGACTCAGACTGTACCAGGGCAGCGGTTGCCTGGGGAAATCTTGCCCAGCCTATGTGATACTATGCTTTGTGAAATTATTCCCCGATCTAGAGTCAGCTCCTGGGCCTTACTTTGTAGCGTGAGTAAAGAGAGTGCAGAGAGGTAGGTGGTGAAGAATGATGTTTCAGAGGACAGCCAGACAAGTATGGTACTACGTGGCGTATGTGCTAGAGGAGGAGGACACGACCATAGCCATCCTCAAAGGTGGTTGGGCATTTCTTCTGCTTAAGGTATCTGTTGAGACCACTCTAGTGAAATTTAGCATTTAAGCCAGATTGTTCTTTTCTGGCAATAAAACAGGGTATGTGCTGTGCCTCTGCCATCTGCTTGCTGGTGCTTTGGGCTGTCACAGGAGGCAAGGTGCTTGTTTCCAAATCTCTTCTTTTTTTTTTTTTTTTTTCTTTCTTTCTTTCTTTCTTTCTTTCTTTTTTTGACTGGATGCCTGTGATGCGTGGTAAGATGTAGTGCAGAAATCCTGGCCTGTTGCTTCCAAAGGAGACAAATTTGTCTAGAAGATGCTTTATAACCCTTGGGGTGAGGGGAAGAGTCTTAATGCAGTGTTTAGCGCTGCCACTTTATGTAAGGGAGAGTGAATCAGGGTTATAAACTGACAGTATTTACTGCTCGTACAAAGTGGAACAGCGTCCCAGAAGGAGGACGTTTATGTAGGGAGCCTCAGAAGCAGGTAGTTAAAAGAGCAATGGTTGAAGTGCTCCTGGCACGGGTCAGCTCTGTATTTCAGAAGCGATGTGGACAGGCGGGCTGCTCTCGCCACAGAGGCCCTGAAGGCGTTCTTCACGTCGGCTCAGTAAGAACTTACGGGGAGTAAAACCTGGTGCTGAACCAGGAGATGCGTGTGGTGGTGTCAGCTGGCCCTCTCTGACTCGCACCAACTCAACTCCTTCATTACCACCCACATGCGAAGTTCAATGAAGGCAAACTTCTTTTCCACTCTAAGGTTGAGGGATATAAGATCAAATACCTGAAAAATGTAATTCTTGAAAAGCAGAACTTGGCCTGTGGTGCTAGTTTTCCTGATTGTGAGGTTTTCTGTCTGTCACTGTTTTACCACCTCCTCTGCATCTGTGCTTTTTAAACAATGATACGCAAGTCACTTTCCCAGTAGAATTCAGCTGTGAGTTATATATATGTATCTGAATAATTCTATAAACAATTGATCTGAGTCTCAGAAACTACTGCTGTGTTTACTTTTAAGACCTTATTTTGCTTTTTTCCATTGCAGCAACAAATCAGTATTCAGCAGCCCTTCACTATTACCTACAGGCAGGAGCTGTATGCTCAGACTTCTTTAATAAGATGGTACCACCAGATGTGTACACAGACCAGGTGAGTTAAAATGTGATTTAGATGTACAAAAATACATCTTTGGACTCGGTCAGCATCGTAATTCTATGCAGAGACAAAACTGCTCGACAGGCACACATTCCTGTAGCCTGTAAGTCTATATCTTGATGCCTTTAGGGATATGAATCCTCATACATCTGTTTTTCTTTGCTTGTTGCTTGAAGGCCATAGAAAATCTGAAGCTTCTCCTTTGCTGAAGCACGGAAGTCTTTTCTGTTAGTTCGTAGAGGCTGAACATGCAGAGTTACCAGCTGGGAAAGTGCTGGTACTGGACTCCAGTGCGGTAGCGAGCAAATGAAAAAGCCAAGCGCACGCACGTCACGGTGTGGTGCGGCACTTCTAAAATATCATCTGCTCTAGCTAGCGCAGGTGAGGCGTAGGAGTACGGGTCACATTGCAGGGAGATCCAGACAACACCGGCTTCTTCTCACATGCCTACTGGTGGTTTTTCTGGACTCTGACAGTGAGCAGAGCTGTGTCGCAGCGCTGTGCAAGGTTGTCTAGAGATGGGTGGGACTGTAGCTCACCGCTGTCGGAGCGTGCCGGAGGTACGGCACTGTACATAGCTGTACCTGTGTGCTGAGCGGGTTGGTGTAACAAGGGGCTTCTGGCTTGTAAGTGGGCCATGAGTGAGAACCCCTTAGTAACTGCATGTGTTGGGGGGAATCTTCAGTCCCCACCACAGCATGTTCCGGTGACATCTTGCAGTCACTTTAACCTTTATCCAGGTGTTTGTCTCGTGCATCAGGAAACCATTCTGTTACTTGTAGACTGTGTTTTGGTAGGCACAAGGAAGGAACTGTCTAGAGCCAGGGAAGGAGGTTATGTATGCACCCTGTCTGATTGCCGCTCATTTCACTTGCCCACTTGTGCAGCGAGAGCTTTGGGCACTGTCTGGGATCCGGAAGGTCCACAGCCCAATCTAAGCTGTGCCTCCTGCCGGACTACGGCGGTGCAGGAGCCCCGGCTGGGACCCCCGTGCTGTCGCACAGCACGCCCCTGCCTCAGGGTGAGAGCTTTTCCCTGGGAGCCTGCTGGGCCTGCCCTTCCCACTCCAGTCAGGGCCTCGCTGCGGGCGGCAGGAGGTGAAGGTGAAGTGTTCAAAGGGGCAGCAGCCTCATGCTCTTACCAGAAATGCAGCGCCGTGTTCTGCAGCACGTCATAGCCGTGTGAGGTGATGAAGGCTCAGTGGATGTGCTAAACCCCAGGAATTGCTGGGGGGGTTAGAAGCATGTAGATAGCTGTTTAGCTGGTCTCTTGTATTTCAAATGGCTGTTTGTGTTCCAAGAGTAGCATTTCAAAACTTGTGTTTTGTTTTTCAAACCATTCTGTAGGTGATAAAAAGAATGATCAAGTGTTGTTCTTTACTCAACTGTCACACTCAGGTAAGAGGTGAAACATGGCATTAAGTAAAACATTTGTTTATAAACGTTTTGATGTTAAAAGGTGCAGATGGGGAGAACATTCTAAAAAGTAAAACTGAATCCAACTTCCCCTGTAAATGCAATCTGCAGTGAAGTAGATTTTATTGTTGTTACTGTTCCTTCTAGGACACTGAAAGGACTGAAACAAATCAGTAAATAAACATATGCTGGGACATGTTTAAAAAGTAGAAATAGTCTGGGGCTTTTTTGTCCCATTTTTCTCTTAGGATGTAGAGGGTGGTGTGCTTTTTGATTTTTTTTTTTTTTTTTTTTTTTTTGGAGTTGAGAAACTCGAGTGCAGTGTCTGTGGGGTGGTGGTGGTGGGAACCCAGCCTTGTTCTTCATGATAACCACACATGGCCCTGGTTGTTCAGTGGGGTTGTTCATTCTCCAAGAAGTAACGAGGCTTATAGTAGGCTCTGATGTAAAAGCTATTAAATGTGTTTAGAAACCTTCATTTGAGTAGAAACCCTTTCTCTTCCTTGTCGCTGCTGCTGTTGTTGGTATTTCAGAATGAGTTTTGTGCTCTCGAAGTTGAGGTGCTCAGGACTTGCTTGCTGTGGGAACAAGCACTTGGTTAGGTCTAGAAATGGGGTGGGATTACTGGGGTGTTCTAGGGAAGAGTAAGGCTGTCAAAATCACCGGTGAGTCTTTCCTTACAGGTAGCTATTTTATGCCAGTTCCTCAGAGAAGTAGACTATAAAACTGCATTTAAGGCACTGCAGGAACAAAACAGGTAAATGTTATAACAAAGTTTAAGTACATATACTGGGGGTGTGTGTGTGTGTGTGTGTGTTGTTAGATATAACCTAACCTGCATTCTCTTTCAGTCATGATGCCATGGATTCTTACTATGAATACATCTGGGATGTCACCATCTTGGAGTATCTGACATGTATCCTTTCACTAGACTACCACTCCAGAAAGCTCGTACTGGATGTTCATGGCTGGAGAAGGTCTGTTCCTTACCCAAGTGTCTTTTCTTGACTCACCCTCAGATCTCCACCACAAAAGAGGCGAGACAGACAAGCGGCAGATAGCAGTAAGTTAACACAGGGTGCCTGGGGGGCAGTGGGATTTCCTTAGGGTGTCTTTCCCTCCTGGAAACTGCCTTGAGAAAGAATTGCCACTTCCAGTTTTAATTTTGTTGCATAGTCTGGATGCTAATGCAAAGCTGTTGGTTTAGGGGTGGGGTGGCATAGCCTGTTACAGAAATAAATGTCCTGTTGAACTAGCACTGAAACTGCCTTGTGATGGGAGAGCTGCTCCGTAAGGGCTGTTGGTAGTGACAGAGTCTCTCTTCTTTCCAGATAAAAGCCATTGGCCAGACAGAGCTGAATGCCAGCAACCCCGAGGAAGTCCTACAGCTTGCTGCACAGAGAAGAAAAAAGAAGTTTCTTCAAGCAATGGCAAAACTTTACTTCTAGGCTAGGGCTGGAAGATTGTTATAAAATGTGTGGAAGTGAAAGAAATCTTTCAAGACTTTATTATTTTTTTTAAATTCATTTAAAATTTTTATACAACATATACAGTCTAGTATCTTTCTTTTTAGAAATAGATGAAATCTTATAATAAACCCCTTATTTTTACAAACTGTACAGAAGGCTGGAAGCAACTTCAGCTAGTTCCACCATGGCTTGTTTGAAGACGACATGGATTCAAGTTTGCAAAGTGAGCATGAGTGTAATGTGGATGGGGGGGTGGCACCTGATGCTCTGGTGCAGCTTTGTGGGCTGCTCACCATCACCTAAAACTTGTCCCTGCCTGTGGGGCACAGGTAGGAGCAGGGACTGGTACCCTTCGTTCCCAGTGCTGTCCCTTCATCACAGAAGTGAGTCAGAGGTAGTGAATATTCCAAGGAAAACACAGTAGTTAATGCTGTTTGTTTATAAAAACACTGATAAAATACAGCTCCACAGTTAGTTTAAAATACTGCTCCTATGACATGAGTGGTTGTAGAGTACCAGCAGCTCACTTTTTTCCATACCCTCTCCAGTTCTTGTTATGTTTGTTCTTGTTGAAAGCAAGTTGGTGGCTGGGTCTTATAAATACCCCTTCTTCCTCCCAGGACTGTATTTCTTCCAGTTACGGTTACTTCAGCAGCAGGTCCTTTGCTTGTACTCTTACCTGAGGTCAGGGATAGACTAGAACTGAAGTTTATGGCAGCCCTAAAGGGCCACCTTAAAGTCATCAGCCTCCTGTGGAGCTAGAGTGTGAGACAGGGCTGGCTGCACCCTACTGCAAGGGCAGAGTGGTTTCCAAAAAGTAAACTGCTTACCCACGGACCTCTAATACTGCACCTGAGCTCGTGGGTGACTAACTGGCAGGCATTATGCTCTGACCTTACCAAAAAAAGGAAAAAAACCAAGGAAAGAAGAGGTAATATGTACAAGTTATCATTAAGTTCTCCTGTATGGCTAGCTCAAGTTAAAGCAAGTTTGACATGTAAGCAAGTTGAGTGGACAAACTTTCCCACTCAGCCATTTTTAAGAAGTTCTTGAAATTCATAAGTTAGGAATGGTCAGAGTTGACCTAAGTCATGTCTGAGAATGGACCAAAGCAGTCCAGGCTCCTGTGACAGCACAGAGGCCACTTGGTCTAAGGCTTATCAAGTCTATAGGAGTCTATGCTGGTCTCAATTTCCATCTGCTGCTTCTTGTACTGCCCGAGTCAGCAGTACCGAGCATGAGTCACCTTTAGTGTGGGCTTGTTCTGAAGCACCAAGTCCTGTTTCTGAAACTGTTTGTGATGTTTGTTGTCCATGTTTCATTTCTTCTCTGTGCTTTTGGGAGGGGTTATGATTCCTCCTGTTGACACGGGTGATAACTGACCTGGGGCAGTAGATGCTGCTCCGCTGTTGACTTCCTCCTGTGTATTGGGGGAGGAAGATGACAGTTAATACCTGTGACCACTTCTACTTTTTTGTTTCACTAGTGCTCAGCAGCACTTCCTCAGGCTGCAGGTACCATTCCAATTTAGGATACTGGGTAAAAAGCCATGGTGCCATTATGCAACCAAGTAAAGCTTATTATCTTTTCAACGCTTCACCAGTATTTCTAATCCCAGCCTTTGCTTATAGCCTGTGAGCGCATGGTAGAACCTGTTTAGTTTATAGCATCGTCCAACAGGAGCCAGAACCAAAAGGTTAGGCACCACTGACCACACTGGGTGAGGTGAGCAGGGAGGTGTTTGGACCCCCTCAGGAGAAGGGGTGCGCCACATACCCTCACCTGCCCAAACCACAAGTCCACAAACCACCTACCAGCATGTCCAAATAATTTGTGTGTGTTTGGATGTTATGTCGATCTTCTAATGCAACCTTCTTAAAGTTCTTCAGCTTGGCAGGGACTTTTTTGGCCACAGTCACAAAGGGAACCATCCATTCTACACACTCTGAAATGCTGTCCCACTCTAAGCCTAGCAGGTAGAAAGAACACAGTAATGTATTTAGAAATCATGAAGGAGTTGCACAGTGTTCCCACGCGGTCATAAATTTAAAAACAGTAAATCATACTGGACATAGATAAAATTCAGAAACATCCTCCTAGAAAGTCCCAGCATTTCCTTGTGCCTGTTACTTAAAAGCATTGTGGCTGAGGCTGGTGAGCACAGGACTCCTGAGCAAAGCACCTCACTGACCATCAGGGTTCCTGTTGCTTACTGGGGGAGGCTAAAGTGACTTTTTCAGCTTGAACACAAGATTTTGGGTCACACTATAAAAACAGACACTATTGTCACAACCCTTTATGGTAGCTCAGGTAACACACAAGCGCTGAGCTTAGTTAAGTGATTTCCTTCCCACACACACACACTTTGTAAGGTACAGGCTGGCGGGAGTTAGCACAAAGGTTAACTGAATGCTACTAACAGACAAGGACAACTGCTTGATAGCTACATTTTAGGAGAAAAAGTAGCCAAATAATGTATAGCTAAAGATCCCCAAAACAAGTGGAAGTCATAGAACAGTAGTATTAGCTCAAAAGCAAGAAAGGTAAATCTGCTTCATTTCCTTAGAGAAGACTGTGCTTCTGAAAGTGTTTCCCTCTTTTTAAGTCTCTGTAACATAGATAGTGGTAGGAAGGAAGTGAAATTAGGGAAAAAAAAAAATATAAAACACACAGAACAGAACAAAGTATTAGTGTCTGTGTAGCTTTTGCTCCTTGGCAGCCTGGTAAACCAGTAACACTCTTAGCAGCCTCAAGCACATAACAGCTTCCAGCATTCCCTGCCTAACAAGACCAAGCTTTACAAAGGCTTCTTACCTGAAGCTTTCTTAACTACTTCAATTGAGGTATAGTGGCAGAGCGCTGCAGCAGCTAGTGTTCTATACTGGAAGTCCAAAGAATTCACATCCAGAATACACAGGTCTAAGAGCTGAGGGAATAACAGAGTGAAGAAAATACCAGTTACAAAGCTGATACTGAAGTATAATCCTGCCTCAGAAACTGCTCTGCATACAGCACTCCTCCTATAGTCTGTGCTCTATAACATGCCTCAGTTTTTTTAGCATCAATCGCATGCATCCGATTTATTTTTGGCACCAACTGCAGTTAAAGTGGGTCTTACAAAGTTGTGATGCAAACCAATTTGCACTTTTACCAGGAACATGCAAGACACTTTGGTTGCACAGATGTAAGTACACCTTTAAACTCCTAGCAGACCTCCAGAAAGGTATTTTCTTAAATTAAAATATTACCTAGCAGCTCAGTGACTTAGACCAGTCTACTCTTCGGTGAGCCTCTCTGAGGCTGGACACAACACACACCCATAAAAATTGAACCACAGCAGTTTCAAAGAGTCGGCACACTCCTCAGACTGCCTTCTGGGCAACTACACAGGAACACCGTTACAGACAATACAGGTCGAAACAGTTAATTGTCCTTAGCGTCCTAAATTATCCACCCTCCTCTCGGAGCTGTTGGCGCTGTTTACAGAATGCTGTAGTGCACAGTGATTAAAAAAACAAGATGGATTTTTGTGTTTCCAGTGTATAGAAAAGTCTTAAAATACGTGAGAGGAGGGAGACAAGAAACACATGGGTGCTTGTCCTCAAAACCGAGTGTGAAGTTCTCTGGCAGAGTCAAACTTGCACGTTCCCTAATGGAGTAGGAGGTGAGGTGAAACAAGGAAAAGCATTCTGTAACGGTTTTTGGGGTGTAACCTTCAGTTGTGCTCGTAATCACGCCAAAAAAAGCACTTTCCAATACAGTTTACTGCCTACCTGTGCTATCTGAATGAACTTTTCCTGAGAATACTGAGGTAGCAGCACTTTCGGAACATCCTTCAGAGCATCCACTTGAAGATAGAGGTTCAGCCAGGAGACGATTGTCACTGGACAGAGTTCCCATTTTAAAGCCTGCAAATATTAAACAAACAGTTAAGCACCTTAAACCAGGCAAGGATAGTTTTGTGCTCTGATCTCTTTTCCCATATCTCCTCTTCTGAGTTTGCTCAGCTTATTGCACAGATCCTCAAAAGACATTAAAGGTTAGGTACAATTTCAAGTACAAATAGCCATTTTAGATTGCATTCTCACTACTTTTTGAAGAGGCTGCATTACAATCAGCACCAACATGAATCCTTACACCTCTGTGGTTGGATCGTATGTATATCTTCCCCATTCAGAAGCTGGGAAATCAGAGTATTTCCCCAACCCCTTCAGGCTAGCTGCCTGAACCTGCAGGTTGTGTCTGTTAAGGAAGAATAAACATATAAGGAGTTCTGTGATGTAAAGATGGATCCTTTCCAATATGAGAGTTCTGTGATGTAAAGATGGATCCTTTCCAATATGAGGAGCATTGAGTAGTGTCAGTTCTTTGCCTGGCTTTCCTCAAGGCCCCTGTTCTCAGACAGCAAGTGCAGTACCTCGCACCGACAGCCGCCTCGTCTGCCCCGTGGCTGGCGGTACCTCTTGAGAGCCTTTACTTTCATACAAGCGTGAGAAACCTGTCCTTTTCTAAGTGACAGGGATTTCACCCCAGCCAGGGGCTTTAGAGGTCCACTGCACATACAATGAAGGGTCCCTCATTTTGCAGAAACAGGGACCGACTAAACATCTTCCTTTTCTAAGCAAAAAAGTGATATTAAAATACAAGGCTCAGTTGGACAGTCTTTTGACCAGCACTTAAAAACACAACAAAGTTATTACCTTTAACATAATAAGTTCCATTCTTACAATATCATCTTCACTACAAGCACCATCGGTGACGTAAGCAAATTCCTGTATTTTAGGAGCATAGATTTCCTTTAAAGGGAGGGGGGAGGAAAAAGCGAAGATTAGAGTGGCCTTACAATTTTAAGAAAGCTTGAGAAGATACCGACAAATACTTTTCAGTCCATATTGCAATATTAACATTTCTTATGCTAGAACAGTGTTTTTCTCATTATAGGAAGTGACTTGAAACTTACAGGATGGGGAGATACTAAAACCAAGTAAGTTAATATATTATCTGTTGTAAAACACAATAGATTTATTGCAACTCTTTTAGCTTTTGGGGAAATAAACGCTGACCAAGCAATCAAAACACCCTTTCATTTATCCCGCTTTCTACTCTGCCATTCAATTTGATGTAAAAACATACACCATCCTAATTCTCATACAGTGCACTGCCATGTTAGCAATGGCTTCCTGATACAGGTTACGTGCAATGTCAGTCCTGATGTAGTCGCACAGATTTGAAAACTAAAAAAGCTAGAAAAAGAAGAGAGAAAATCCCACAGCCACTGTAGCTGGCAAAATCCATGGCGCAAAGCTGGTTAACAAAGGAATTTGCCAACCCAGGCATGCCAGTTGGGGCCATGTATAGTTAGGTGTGTTAGTAAAAGAGAACTTGCCAGCAGAACTGTTTCTCTACCAGCTGGCTCCACAGCCTGATGCCCCACGCATTTCCTTAGGATAGGCAGCTGCTTATAGTGCACTACCTTGGCTTTAGGAACAACAGCTAGATCAGGGGGTTTCCAAGTATAAAAATGTAATTTCCCAAATTTTTCTCTCAGCCTAGCCTACCATGCACTATACAAAAATACGCTCTTGGCTCACAGATGTAGTGCACAATGTCATGTATCACCATCACTGCACTTCAAAAGAAAAAAAAACTCCACTAAAGAGATTTATAGGGATATCAGCCTGATGTACAGGCTGTTTGAGATTTAGGTTTGGTTTTGTTCAAGTCCGATGCCCATTCCTGAGATTGTTTGCCAACTGCTGTATATTTGGAAAAAGACAAAAAAAACTACCCCTAGCACATTTGCACACCTTTTAAGTTTATGTGGTCTCCTTCCCTGCTGCTGAGGAAAGGGAGGACAAAGACTACACTCCAAGAGATTCACATAAGCACAACAGAAGAAAGAGGAGAAAAAAATTCCTCTTCTGACCTTCAGTGTTGTACGTACGCCACCAAGTTCAAAAGATTCAGACAGAAGAAATAAATACGTTACCAATGTCTTTTTAGTTATTCCAAACTTAATATCCTCCTCCCTGTAACAGAGCTTCTTACCTCAAGTTTGGAGGCAATGAATAATGAGGTAATTCCTATGAGTTGAAGCATACTCTTGTTAATGTTCTTTTGTGTCAACATGAATCTATCAAAAAAGTCTTGAGCTAGGTAGAAGGTTTCCCTGTGGAGTGCATACACCTCGCATACCTACAACAGGAAAAAAAAAAAACAATTCACTTTTCTGTTATAAAACTCTATGTACACACATTGGAGTATTCAAGCTTTAATAGTAGCACAATTTTATCTTTTACACACACAAACTATCACATAGCTAGGTGTGTTAGGATGTAGTGGTTAGTATGGAAGTGAAAAAAGTATTTCCTGTGTTCCTAAACACAGATTGTCTATGGTGCACTAATATACTTCCAAAGCACACTTTTTCCAATCTAAATAGCATCCAGTGTTCCTAAAAATGAGTACAAACAAGAAGAAAGCCTCATGGAAGGGGCGGTGCAAAAAAAAAAAACACCCCACTAATTTGCCCAATTAAGAATGCTCTGGGCTCAAACCTCAAATTGAAGTCACTAAGCAGATCCTCCCTGTATTCCTAGTAGGTCTGTCCCAGGGCAGAGCCACTAAAAAACTTTGTCTTTGGCTCTCCAGCAAATAAGCCTGGAAGCTCCTGCTGGAGGGGGCTCTGCTGGCAAGGCAGGAGCGCAGCCCACAGCCCCTCAGGCACACCGACAGCCTGACTAAGCAGGAACAAAACTGCAAGAACGGCCATCTGCTCCACACAGTCGCGGGTTTCCTTGGCAGGGAGAACTTTTAATACTTGCATTGTATCAAAGTGGTTCAAACGCCAGTTCAACAAAAAAAGGAGGTTGCCCAGGCCTGGAGATCCTATGCAGGGGTTTACTTTTTCCTCTCATCTCTAGCTGAATTTGGGTGGGTCTACCACAATTCCAGCTTATCTGCAACTCTGTATCCCTTCCACAACTAGAAACTAGGTAGATACCTATAAATTACTTGTAATCTATGTACACTCAACAGGAAGGATTATCCAAGAAACAGATGCCAAGTGTTCCATTATTTCACTTGGATACAAAGCCAGAATAAAATCTTGCTACTACTAGCTATTTCCTAAGACAAAGTTGAAAGCTCATTTGTGAATTAAAACCCTTCCTGACCATCAAAAATGCAACTGGTTGGCAGTAACACCACAGCTCATTCTTTTAGACCGGATCCAATATTTGACAATTGATGTGCTACTCTGATATTATTAACTCCTGCTCCAAACAAGATTCAGAACTAAAAACGTACAGACCAGGCCCACCTATGAATAATGGCACAATTTCTATAAAAGTGTGTCGCCCAAACATAATAATGTTTGGTAATAGTATCTCGGTTATGATGTTACAGAAGACAATGTTAGGAGCTACTGGAGAACCCTCAGAGTTGCTGGGATTTTAATCCACAGAGACGTATAGAACCACTGAGCTGGACAACAACAAGGCCCTTGTCGGCATTTTTGTTTGGAAATTGGACGATTTCCTAAGAGTTCAAGATTTTCCAAAAACAAGCAACAAAACACAATTTAATGGTGGTCTGTAAATTACACATTACAGGAAGCAGTGAAGTACACAACTGGAATGTTTTTATATTCAGACCATATTTAAAAAAAAAAAAAATAAAAAAATCAAGCACAAAACCTTTCCTTTCCCTTTAAATCCCCTGCTATTAGCACTGTTCCACCAAGATGGCAAGAGTGCCACTGTAACATCTGCTTCCTGGAGTACTTGATATGGAATCGGTAAACCTTCTGCTGATGGGCAAGAAATACACAAGTCAAACGTTGCTTTTGGCAGCGGTGATTGAACATGCTCTATATAGATTTCTTGTAAATAGAGAGATATGTTCTGGAGATATTTCCAACACTAATACTCCTTCACATAGGCTTCCAAGATTGAGAACTTCCATTTTGTTTCACAAGTGGAATAGTTGTCAAACTTCAGACAAATAGTCTGAAGTAAAGCAATTAGACTGGAATATGGATATGATTTATTTGTAATCCTTTTCGAATAAGAACCTGTCTATATCAAGAACCTTCAGATGTCAGCCACTAATGCACTACTTTCTTTTGCTCTCTTCAAAGGATAGAATTAAAAATTCACTGAGAAGTCAGAAAATAGTGTCAGGGGCTGACATCTAAGAGCTCTTGCCATAGACAGGCCAGGGTGATAACTCAAGTCCTCAATACAGATGCAGTTGTCTCGTGGCTACAGTCTAAGATGTAAAGTTAGAGCTCTATAACTAATCTGTCTACAGCAATTTCAATACAAGTGTCTCAAAACCAGATTTCTCCCCTTTGCAGGGGCTAGGGGGGCAAGACCAGAAATTAAGTACTATTGCTCGCTGCCCTGTGTGGAAGTTTCAGCATCTCCTACCAGGGAAGACCCCAAGGTAGCTCAATAAGAGGATCAAAAGCAGTAACTTGTAACCCTTTTGTTGTGAACTAGTTTTGGCATTTATCGTTACTGTACATTTTGCTATTTGATCTTTATGTAAAAGCTGTGCTTTTATCCGCCTGCTTCACAGGCATAACACATGGCAAAGTAACTAAAAGAACATACCTCTAAGAGCCAGTCTAACAGTATTGATCTCATGTGAGGTTGCAAACTAGAATGTAGCGATGTGAAATGTTTGCAGTGAGCGTATCTGTTCTCCTTCTTCAGGATGTTGAGCCAGACATCTTTGGAATTTCCCCAGCTACAGAATAAAGTTACACAAAGCGTTGTTAAGTACACATACACCTTCACAAAAGGAGTATAAAAACATTATTTACCGTTTACAGATATTCAGGAACAAAAAAGAAAAATTCCGCATACTAAAAGATCCTTATGGTAATTAGAAAGCTGCAGGTGTACTTTGAACCTTTTACATCACCACAACAGCAGCTTGCCAAGATCATCAGCAAGTCCAGTTTTATAGCACAGCCAAAAAAGCTAAATGCGTGCATCCCTAAGTTGCACATAAAATCAGAGCTTCCTATTTTGCCTAGCTAGGTGGCTGTCCAGAGAGCAAGATAAAAACCAAACCCTCCCCATAAAAAAGAAAAAAGTCACCCCACTCCCCAAGAAATACAATACGTACATGAAGTTGTCTGGTTTAGTTTGAGAAAAACATTTATGGATGGTGTTTAAAAGTCACTCATTCATCCCTTCCTATTCTAGCCTACCTTAAGGCTCAGAAACAAGGCATTGTGAGAAAAACTGAGCTGTTGTTCATTGCTAACTTGTAATTTATTAGCACTCAAGTCTACTTGGGAAGAAGATGCTGCTGTATCATTAATATGGCTTGTTTTCAACTTGTAATTATTGTTACTACCAACTGATGTGGTTTTTTTTCTTAGATGTACTTCTCATCCTACAGTTAATAAGAGAGACAGCACATTAATCAATGCAATGCTGATTTCCTACTGAAATTTTTGGAGTTATATATTTACCTTTCCCAAGCAGAAGCAGAGAGAGATTAAACAGACCTGATCACTGGTATTGCCTACAGATTCTAACCCAGATCAGTTCCATTCTGCTGCCATCACAACGTAAAAGCTGGAGAGATACTTGCTTAATGCACAAGTCTCCCCATTTAAGTGGACAAGCATCAAGACATATCTTCCTACAGCAGTTAGGAAAGCATGAAGGTGGCAGGAGAGAGTAAATGATCCTCTTATTCAGCTAACTGGAAAGGATGGAGCTCAGCTTTACCAGGTGCCTATTGACAAGAGGTGAACATCAAGGATTAAACACCTTGCATGGAATTCTGTATCTGAACATATCTGTGGGATCCAGCAGTTTCCAACAACTCGCTAAAGGACTGCATGAGACCCCCTCATTCACTATCTTTTTTTTATTATTGTTTTTAAAAAACCACTTTGCACTAAGCTTTCCAACACACAAAAAATGTGATTTGCTGAGTATAGAGAAGAGCATGCTGTTCTTTAAAGCACAATTCAGCATGCCTGGGAGTTAATACTGAGAGAGAAGAACAGTTGAGTGTGAAACTCAGTGAAAGAGACCATAAGAGACCTACTGCTTTGCACTGAGGTAAAACATCACCATGCAGCTTCTCCCGGTTCTGATCGAGTTTTGGTCAGAACAAATGAAAACATGGTGTATCTACAGGTTCTCTTAAAGTAATGCTTCATGTTCTGCTTTGCTTCTCATTCACCTCAGCAGAAGTTTTCCCTAATGCATTGCAGTAAACTTAACAATTCTTTCATTAAATACCAGGCTGATACAAACAGCAACTGGGGTACTCATCTAACACACCTGAACGGCTAAGAAATTCAGAAGTTGGAAAATTCGATTCTCTGCAGAATTCTCTCCCTCTGCAGAAGGGAAACTTTCTAGAACTGTGGCTGCACCAAGCATACTGCATTACATTAGCAAGCTACCTGCACAGCAATATTGCCACCAGTTTATTTGCTTATTTCTACATTTTTAAGTTCTTAAAGAAAACTTTGCTTAGTATTTTTTGGTCACCCACTTCCAATAGCACCAAAAGAAGTTTAGTTTAACCGTTATGTGCCCCGTAACCACTCAGAGTCTCCAATGTTAAGTTATAAAGGGACAGCTCTGAAAGGCAAAAATGACTTGTTTGGTGTGTTTATAAGATTGGGGGGCGGGGAGAGGAAACCAAAACAGAATTTCTGTCTTTTTTTAGACACTGAATTGTTCGTGGGATGAGGAGACAAGTAGAGGTATGGGTTGAGTACTGCCCACTATTATAAAAACACAATACAACGGATTTTACTACAGTAGTTTAGCATATTTGATAAAACACCAACAACTGCTGCATCTGGTAAACTTACTTCAGTTCTGGCAAAGGTGACGGATTTATGAAGAGGTTTCTGAACCTGTATTTTTTGAATCTTGAGAAGTCAGTGGTTACTGATTCTTTGTGAGGCGTTTCAATAATTATGCAAGGTGAGATGCCTCCTGTTATCGTGGACGGCCAACAACTCTGCAACATAAACAAGGTATCTCTTAAATGCTGATTTTACTAGGAGAGCAAGAAGGATGAGAAGTAGGTTACAGCAACAACAACAATGTATGTGTTAGTCTTTTTGGACTTCGGCATTGACTCAAGTACTGAAACTAAGAAAGACAGAGAGATTAAATGCCAACAAAGCCTTTCGTAGTCAAGACAGAACATGTATAAACAAATGTGATGAATTTGGGAAACTCAGCTTTGAGGAAGACAACTGTCTTTAGTTTATTAACTCAAGTAACATATCCATTGCTTGAGCTGCTCGGCTACAGTATACAAGGCAAAGGTACTCGTTACTACTAAAACACAGGACACGAGATTGCTGGTCCTATCTACTTATCTATGCAGAGGGAAAAAAAAAGGAGAGGGTGGAGGTTCTACTGTCTCTCAGTGGAAATTCAGCAACTTGTTATCTTCCAATTAAGCACTCCAGAGAGGAGCCACCCATCTCAACTCCAGAGCTAGATACCCACTGAGCAAGCAGCAGCTGTGAACGATCTCTCAGCTTGCCACTGCCCAATATGGGATGCAATGACTCAAAAGGAGAAGAGCGCAAAGTTATGCATGCAGAAAGCTTCAGAGGAGGAATTTTAGATTACTTTAGTGAACTCTGCAGCTTGGTTCACTAATACTTACTTGGTTGCACATAAGCAATACAAGTAAGGAGGTACCAAATACATGGAGCATACACAATGCTGTAATGGCTGACAACCTTCAAAATGGTGACACAGAACTTTCATAATGCTCTGTGGAGTTAGGGGGGGATCCCATTCACAAGGAATAGCAACACCTGCCCCTGAACACAGAAACTTCACCTTGCAAAACAGCTATATAGGAAAACTACACATGGTTTCCTTAGTATATCTAAAGCTCTTTATAGCTAGACTAAAGTATCGAAGAGTGAAGTTACGTATTCTGGCAGAATTGATATTAACAGCACGCAGCTACAAGAAAAAGGGAGATCCTGCTCCTCCTCCTCTCCTGTGATCCTCACTGCCCAAGTCCCACTCCTTCCTTCTTTTGTCAGTTTTGATGCTTGTCAGACCCTCTGCCATGTTGATTCAACTCACTAACCTAGCAGAACATTAACTTATTTTGTAGTGCCAAATTAGCAAGTTGAACCTGCATACTGCTTCATTTAAAGAGAACCAAAAATGAAGCAAGGCAGGGGATGGAGTGCATGGTCAGCTATCAAGGGAGGAAAGACAGGGCAGCAGGATTTCCCACTTTCGGCAAAGGTAAGTTATGACGCACAGTTTCACCCTCAGTACAGCTGATATACTTATACAGCATTTTTCCCTACACAAAGTTTGCAAAGACAACTTCACAATCAGAATAGTTTTGCTTCACCATAGCTGTTAGTGTCATTTGGTTTATAAACAGAATAACTGCGAACAAGATTGTTCGCAAGAGAAAGTTACATTATTTTACTAATCTACTTTAAAATAAACAACTATTAAGCCCCTCACTTAGTGTAGGAGTAGCCTGCGATAGTTAAAACAGATTCCTAAACTGATTTAAATAATCAAAAGAACTGTGCAATGAAAGTAAAGAGGGCCTGCATGGTTACGAGTCTTCTTAACTAAATGGCCGCAAAACCACTCCTGAAGTCAAACCAAGTGCGATGGTCTTGTTTAGACTTGCCTCTAGGCCTTACCTGCTCTGCATATAGAATTATTCTGAATTATCTCGATTTATTCTCAGTTTTACGCCTAACCTTACTCTGCAGTGGTTTCCACATTGAAGGACCCTTTATGTGCAACAAAGCCATGCGTAAAAAAGCGAAAACTTATAAAAAGATGCCAAGACGCTGAGCTCCCATAGTTTTTAATATGTGAAAGTAGAGACTTCCCCTATTCAATACTTTCTAGCGTGGAATGCACAACTTTACACCCACCAACATAAACCAGATGGACTCCCTCACCTAGTTCAAACCGGTATTCAAGACTGAATTACCTTAATCTCATATTGATGTTTTCTAGCAATTTTCCCATCTTCTCTTTTCTTAATCTCCTGCTGAGAAGAGACACACACATCAACACACTGACAATGACCAGCACACCCACCTCTAAAGCTAAAGCAAACTTTTGCTACTCCCGCCCTGCTTTCTAACTGCACAGAGTAAAGATTCTCCCATTCAAATGCACTGGAGAACTTTTAATATTATTAAACTGTTCAAGTTGTCCAAATTGGTCACCTCTGCTGTTCTCCTTTTTCTAGTCTGGAGATGTTCTGGTGCCTGAAGTTCTTGTGGACACTCTTCTTGACATGATGGTGGCGGCTGCTGCTGCTTAGCTTGCAAACGGCTACTGCAAAGAACAAAAAGACATTGGGGATTAGGAGAGCAACAGTTGTTAGATGAATACAGATAAGCCCGGTGTATTATGATGCTAACATCTTACCTGCGTCTTGACATCTTCTTTGGATTCCAAGATCTCTACCTGGATCAAAGGAATAACATAAGCTTAGTTATTGTATCCTCAAGAAGTCGGGACCAAATTCTGTACTTTGTGTCATAAGATGCATCACAAAGAGCAGCAAGGTTTACACAACGAAAATAGAAGGGCACAAGTATTTTACTGGTGTGAGGAAAGCCTGAGCAGAGGACGTGTGTGGTGTATGATCACACCCAGCTCCGCGTCCTGCTGCGGTTTACACTGCTGAAGTGGGTTACACAGGGATGCCCACGTACGACAGCAGTCAGTTTGGCTCAGGCTAGCTGGGCTTATCCAGCCCGGGGCTGTAAAGGGACGTTTCCCATGCAAAAGGAT